AAAATGGTGTCTGAGTCGAAGAATTTGCACATCTTTCCTGTTAATAATTTAATCCTTTGAAAATAAATATTTAACATTTTCTAACCAATGGGTCGCATTCCCGCCAACAATAATAAAAAAAAACATGCTTCGTGATCCCTTTGAAGGGTATATAAGCAAAATTTATAGACTAGTAAGGAGATAAATGCGACAACAGTTCACGGCAGCGGCTGAAATGTGATTCCTTTACTCATTCACACTTTTCCTCACCTAGCTACGAGACACTTACACTTTCTTCTTCACTTTCTCCTTTTTTCTCAAACATAGACGCGAAGAAATTACATTCTTTTCAGACAGCTAAAAACAAGGATTTAAAGTGCTGTAATATTCATACACGTTAAGATTTTAGTTGTCAAAACAGTAAAATAAAAATATTTTACATTTTTTTATTTAAAAACCTTTCTCGCATTCTTTCTTTGTTGTGGGTTGATTTAAATCCGCAACAAATGTAACCGTAAGTTCTATTCTGATAGTTTCCTCTCTTGCATTTGGAACTCTGTTCCGATTTCTTGCTTCTTGCTCCTCAACAGCCATCTTCTGTCTCTTTGAAACTTGTTCTTTTATTGTCTTTTCTGCTCTATGAAGTTATCTCATTTTCCCTTGCAGCTTAGTATCATTATCACCTTGCTCGGAGTGAAATGATTAAAAAATTGGTCAACTGAAGAAATGGATGAAATTGAATAAAGATAAAAAATTTAATTGCACGAATTGTCTCCCTTTGAATGATATAAACCTCCATTTTTGTTCAATGAAAAATAGTCTTTGAAAAATTGTGTGTAAATTCCTCTCGAGGAGTTTGTAGCACATTATTTATCATCTCAGTTGCGTCTTTCAACAGAGTGCACTCAGGGGTAACTCCGTCAAAGGACAGAGTCGCAACTGAGGAAAATTATACTGAGAGGTGCCCAGCCCTGGGGAACAGCTGCCCGAAGCTGAGCCCTCTCAGTACACCAGAGAGAGGGATCGATGCTCGAACCGAGGACAGCGCAACCGACAGTTGCAGGGGCTCGGGATTCTTGTTCCTAGCCCGGGTGTACGCGCACGGGCTCCCCACATTAAAACGAGCTTGTGTCACAACCTGACCTCGTGGGGGTTTCGTAAATGCAAATTACTCTAGTAGTTTGTAGCACATTATTTATAACACCAGAGAGAGGAGTCGGTGCTCGCTCCGAGGCCAGCGCAAACAACTTTTGCGTGGGTGGGGAGGCTGTGGGCAATTTTTTTCCTTGCCCGGGTGTCACAACTCGTCTTAGTGGGGAGACAGATTAAATATTTGTTATGAATCACGTGTGCTAAAGCCAGTGCGCTTGTCTGTGTATGTGTGTGCCTTTCGGGGTGTATGTGCATATATGTACGTATGTGTATATGTGTGCGTGCATACTCGTGTGTATGTGTGTGTGTTTGTTGGACGTGTGTGTGCTATATCTGTACATGTCTATGTGTGAACAAACCTGTATTCGTATGCGTGTGCGTAGGCACATGTATATGTGTGGATGTGTGCGTGCGTCTGCATGCGTGTGTACATGCAAGTTTGTGTGCACATGTATGTGTGTAGGTACGCGCATGCATGCGTGTATTTGTGTGCGCAAACATGTGTTCATGCGTGTGTGCGCGCGCGTGCGTGCGCGCGTGTGTGTGTGAAGCTGCGGTAAAAAGATTGAGATGTGAAAACCTCGCCCTAGATTTTTTCTCGGAGAGGAGATTGAGGCCACGCGGGTAAAGTAAACAGCGCCGGCTAAAGGTATTTGCAATTCGGGTAAGTCACCCAGGGCGCCATCAAGGCCGAGGGCGCTATCATACCGCCAAGTCATGTGTTTGGGATCTCCCAAAACTAAAGCTTATAAAAACATAATTTTGAATTCAGAGTTGTCCTTCTCCTAGACCAGTTGCCATCCAAGGCTATAGAACCCAGTCTGTCCTGCTATTTACCCATAGCTGGGAGGAGGGGGAGAAGAGGATTCATACCTTTCACAAGGGTCAGTCAGTCAGTTATGTGCCATACATGATACACGCTTAGGTGATCATGTATCTTTCCATACACGACTGACGAGGCAAATTATTTTTTCTCACAGTAGGATGCCATTTCTTTCTTCGGTAGACCAGTTGCCATCCAAAGCTATAGAACCCAGTCTGTCCTGCTATTTACCCATAGCTGGAGGGAGAAGAAGAGGATTCACACCTTTCCCAAGGGTATTAGCACGTAAGTGAATGTAATGGATTCGACTGGAATCCGAACTCGGCTCTCCGATTCCTTAATCCAAGCCGCTTCCTTTATATATATATATATATATATATATATATATATATATATATATATATATATTAATTTAAATGTCCATTAAGGAATTGTATTCTCGATCAATCAAAGTTCGTAAATAATTATATAGGCCATACTGCAATATGTTTGACACGAAGACTCTACACCTTTCTGACAATAACTCAATTAGATCTCATTTAAATATTCATGGAGACCTACCGGACACTATTCGTAACATACTTGTTGACAACACTAATATAATAGCATCATCTACATGCAAAAAAGGCTAAAAATAATGGAAGCCTTATTAATAAAACAAAAATAAAACAACACTCCCTAATATCAACTATGAACATGGACACAATATTTTGATCGTGTTTTGAAAATGAAAACATTATATAAATACATACATACAACAATCTATTTCTTGTTAACAGTTAATATATTTCAAACTTGAAAATGGCTAAATGTATAATCGAAAGCGCTCGAAAAGGAAGTATAATTGGACAGTTTTATATAATTTATCATCTGAAAAGAAAAGATATTTAAACGCATAAGAAATTGTATTAAAAACTAAATAAAGGCACCTTCCCAGTCGTATTCAATGAAATGTGCATGAAAGAAGGATCGCTGCCTAAATGCACAAATATATATATATAGTATATATATATATATATATGTGTGTGTGTGTGTATGTGTGTGTATACATATATATAGAGAGAGAGGTGTGTGTGTGTCTGTGTCTGTGTGTGTAGAAATACACTACCCTAATTGAACCGAATAAAAAAAATCAAATTATATACATAATTTATATCTATTATAAAAAATTTAAAACAGCCAACCTTATCCTCAAAAATAACAATACACCAACTAAGTCAAAATTATAAAAGAATGAACATTATCTATGAGTTCAAATGCCCCTTAAGGAACTGTGTTCCTGATCAAACTGGACTCATAAATAATTACATCGGTTACACAACTACATGCTTATCCAGACGTCTTACATTACACCTATCTGATCACAGCTCCATTAGAACCCATTTAAACACACACAAAAATTTACCAGACTCCATTCGAAACATACTAGTAGAAAACACAAATATATTAACTGCATCCACCTGCAAAAAAAAAAAGACTTAAAATAATGGAAGCTTTAATAATGAAACAGAAGACGCCAAATCTTAACAATATTAACTACGAACAAGGCCACAATTTGCTAACCGTATTCGGAAATTAAAAACATTTCTACAACACACTAAAACATACACATAATGCACACGCTCAATTAAGCTGAAAAATTGAATCATCCTTGATAATGGCTAAACACATAGCCGAAAGCACTCGGAAATATAAAACATTTGGACAGTTCTTATACACCCTTTGTCTAGAAAACAAAACTCTTGTTAGAACACAAGGAAAATTAAATAAAAAGCTTAACCGTTGTACCTCGCCTGTCGCTTCTAACGAAACATGCATAAAGGATTGCATAAATATATATATATATATATATATATATATATATATATATATATATATATATATATATATATATAGAGAGAGAGAGAGAGAGAGAGTTTTAATTCCATCAACTCTTCTCTTATCCCCTAAATTCCTTAATGTTTACTTTTCTTCCAAGTCTTTTTTTGGTTTGCCCTTTCGATCAACGCTAAACACACATATAACCTAAGCTATCAGTTAATAATACCGAACAAGGATTTCATAGCTTTTTGCCGCTAAAAATAAATCCCAAAACTGATATTCATTCCAATGGGTGGGGTGGAATCTGCATTTTTGTCTTCTATTTCTTCCACGGTTTAATATTCAGACCTGCTTTCTCACCTTGGTCGTATTCATCGCAATTATTAGCGGACAAAGAGTGGGTCGAGAAGGGCGTTCCGACAAAGGCGGCAAGTTGGTAGGGCCGACCTTTAAGTGATTTAGTATTAAGAAGCAGCATACAAAATTAGTTGTACCTCTTTTTCTCTCTCTCTCTCTCCGCATGTGACATTTTTTTTAGAATACATCAAATAACTTCAATAAAACATTGATACTACCTAAAATTTTAACTCAGGCTGTGTTTTGACATCCAAATTGATCGTTTAAAATTTGAAAACATTTTATTCAAAGCAAACTTGAATTTATTGAAGTTTATATGATTTGCTTAATAAATTCAGATAGTGTAGGTACTGACCAGACACGCCATTGCTTAACTTCGCTTATCGTACGGGAATCGGTGTTTCAACATGATATGGCCTTCGTTAAAATCTCATATAGCCGAATATTTTATAAACCTAGCTTTGTACGGGACAACGGTATGAGGTAGCGTGTAAAGTTCAAAAGTTAGTGGATTATCGACGGGAAACTATCATTCGCCAGCAAGCATTCAATGCCGGAGATAAATGGATCTCGATATGATATATTAGAAAACACACACACACACACACACACACACACACACACACACACACACACACACATATATATATATATAAATATCTATATATATATATGGATTTTTTTTTTACGGTTTATCAACTAATCGTGGGTAGTTTAAAGCTGAAAGATGTTGCAGATTGTAGGAGGTCTCGATTATAGTACCCGATGTCAACTAAAGGAGCACCATCTAAATATTGACCATGTTCAACATTGCTTAACTTAGAGGATTCGGCGAGGACCGGTGTTTTCAGCGTCATTTGACTGTTATCTATATCGATATAAATGGACTTGAATAGAATAGATAGATAGATAGATAGATAGATAGATAGATAGATCTGAACACACGGTGATAGATAGATAGATAGATAGATAGATAGATAGATAGATAGATAGATAGATATAAACAGACAGTGACAGATAGATAGATAGATAGATAGATATATATATATATATATATATATATATATATATATATATATATATATAGATATATATATATATATATATATATATATATATATATAGAGATAGATAGATAGATAGATAGATAGATAGATAGATAGATAACATAGATAGATAGATAGATAGATAGATAGATAGATAGATAGATATAAACAGACAGTGACAGATAGATATGAACAGGCAGTGATATATATATATATATATATATATATATATATATATATATATATATAGATAGATAGATAGATAGATAGATAGATAGATAGATAGAACAGACAGTAACAAATAGATATGAACAGAGATAGATAGATAGATAGATAGATAGATAGATAGATAGATAGATGAACCGACTGGTATAGATATACATATATTTCTAGAATTCTATCGTTCAATTAAGATTGTTATTGTAAGGCTTACCTTTACCATTTCTGAACGAACAAACTCCAGTTGGGTTGTTATTCTGAAAGAAAATGAAATCATCAAAAAACAAAATTGCAAGGAAAATGTATAAAGATCCGGATAGAAAACAGCACGCGATCAAAAAAAAAAAAAAATTGAAGCATTAGAAATTCTTTTGTCGCCTCACACAAATAATTTCATGTCCCTGACAGATAAGGCTTCATGTTTCTTTTTTTCTTTTTTTTTTTTTTGATCGGTTGGATGCTTCTTATTTCACAACGATCATTTGTAAATATCTGTACTGGTGATGCAACGGGATATGAGTGCACCTCCAAAAATCTAGATCAGTGGTTTTCAGCTGCGATGCATATGGAACCTGTGCTGTCCATGTAATATTACTGGGGGGGGGGTACACACAAAAAAGTAGCAAAGTGGGGGTCCACGGTAATATTTTAGTGGTCCATAGTGCAATTTCATTTTCGGAACAGCTGTTACAATTGAGAATTGGAATTCCTTCAGTAATCTACGCCATATTAAAATACTAAAAAATAGAAAGCCCACTCTCTGAAACCAGAAGAAGACAAGATGTAAGCTAGCCTCCCTTTTTCTCTGTCGGATGTTTTGATTGTAAAAGTTAAATAAAAACTGAGATAGATAGATAGATAGATAGATAGATAGATAGATAGATAGATAGATAGATAGATGCAATTTCTCATGGAGGCACCATGAGAAATTGCACATTATTAAGCTTATAAATAATAATAATCTCTTAAACAATAGACATGAGTTAACGGTTTTCTGTCGACATCATCAGATTTATGATTTGAATTATTAGCTAAAAACAAGCATACAATATAATAACTTGTCTAATCCATAGCCCAATCATCAGATTCATGGTTTGAATAATTAACTAAGAACATGCATACAATATAACACCTTTCATAATCCATAGCCCAAATAAATAGTTTAAATACCCTACAAAAAAGATAACCCTTTATGAAGTCGTCAAAAAACAAAAGTTACGATAGTTTTTTTTTATATGCACAAATCCCTTTCATAAAAAATAAAATAAAAAAATAAATAAATCTCCATAGACACGCAAACTAGACGAGGGTTAATACATCTTCCGTTTCAAATTTAGACACCCCGACCTTTCCCTGACTTGACATCTACGAAAGTAACTCTATACTGATACTTATTATTAACACCCAACACCCGCCTACCCAATTTAAACAATTTGCCCTAGCTGTTACCATGGAAATTTTGATTTCAATTTTTAAAACATGTAAATTTCAGAAATACGTTATTCCCCAAAAAATTTCGCTTGAAGATGGAACAGAGCTTATTTTAACTCAATTTAATTTAAATAATTATATTGAAGTTTTCGGCTCTTGTTTTGAAACGTGGGACTTCTTATGTTGCGATTTGGAATCATATTTTTAAATAAATAATTATATATATATATATATATATATATATATATATATATATATATATACTTCTCAGTTTTTATTTAACTTAAATGCCCTTCGTTTTTAGTCCCCCGTTTTTTTTCTCTCTCTCATCTTCTGGATTTAAGTTTAGATCATATCGTTTTTTATTGTGCGTAGTCTCACCACAAATGTATACACACGTTTCCGGTGTCTGTTTTTTTTTTTTTTTTTTAATTTTGATTTTAGGTCAGCGATTCGGTAGCAAATTATGCATTGAAAAATAATTCATATTTTTCTGTATCTCACTCATTTAAACCGTTAGTTAACCCCTCTCTTTAAAACTTCTGTTAAATTTTAATCCCCCACCTTCACCTTTAGGCCTTTCCTGTTCTTCTTTCTTCTGTTACACCCTCTCTCTAGAGCTTCCATACATTTTCCTCTCACACTTGTTTCCCACTCCCACAGATACACTCTCACTAAAATTTTGTTTTTCATACCCGGAGTTATATTTTCCGATTTCTTTTTGAATTTGTAGGTCTGATGAATTGGATCATGATTACGATTCCAATGTAATAAATTATAACCATGGAATATTAGTGGTTGAGCCTTTTTATCATATATATATATATATATATATATATATATATATATATATATATATTTCATTAAATAATATAGAAACCACAAACTCGCTTTCACAACGTTTGACTCTACATTTGAATGAAAAAACTCTAACATTTTTAGGCATTTAAAACAACATGTCTGGCCGCATACACAATTCTGGAAAATCCTTGTTGAAAACACAATTATACTTAAACATGAAAACAATAAACAAAAACTAAAAATTCTTGAAGCTATATACATAAAACAGTTGAAACCTAACCTGAACAAAATAAACTATGAAATCTCCACAAACATTCTTAAATGCCTATAATTGATAACAGAAGCCACTGGTTTATACCAACGGCTTTCCATACTTAATATTCTCGTTTTCACTCTCGCGTGGTCATGTGTGACGTCACGAGCTGTGGTGCGATTTTCGTTTCCGCGTTTCGTATGCACGATTTTGTCGTTGCTTTGAAATTTTTCATGCAACAAAAACAGATTATCATTATTGTTTTGTATGTGTATTGTTTAATATATTGAAATGTAATTTTCATCTTTGATAATGGCTTATGTAAGCCGAAAGCTTAGATAGAATTAAAAAATATGTATCAATATTGTGATTTTCTTTCTTCTTTTAATGATAATGCTATTTTGCTTATCAGACAATATGAAAGGAACTTACTTAAAATAAATAGACATATCTTGTCTATATTATTTAATGAAACATGCACCAACGAAAAATTTCTGCCTAAAACTCACAATTTATATATATATATATATATATATATATATATATATATATATATATATATATATATATATATCCGATGCGATGGGAACGAAAGTAATATATAAATTCCAACGTTCACAGCATTAATCCAAAAGACAGCTCGATACCGATAGTAGAGCGATAATTATTTATTTATTTATTAAAATTTTATCATATAGACGAAACCATTTTACTCACTACAAAGATGCAACTTTGTTTCAGTGCATTTCAACTGCACTTCGACGGGTGAGAATAGAAAAAAAATTTCGATTCCTTGTTTGTTTATCAAATTCTAATTATGTATAAATATACCTCTTCTTCCTCCTACAATGGGTTTATTAATAGGACTTGTATCACTAAAACAAGTATTATTTTAAAAAAAAAAAAAAAAAAAAAACAATTCATATAATTAAAAAATATTTTCTGGCTTTAAATAACCTGATAAGCCGTAGAAAACGAATCAATTAAACAATTAATGAAACCATTTCTAACTTACCTTTCAATTAAAGACCCATAATTACACAATTCCCTGAGTAGGACGTGGCTTAATTCCGTCACGGTCAAATAGTTCCAGCAATCAAAATGTCCTGTCGATAGCGCCACCTGGGAGGGTTTCATGCCTTCATGATTGACTGCCGTAATATCTGCAGCACTTTCCACTAAAGCCTAACAAAGGAGGAATAAAAAGAATACATTTTATTGAACAGAGATTCATTGATTTCAATATATTGAAGAATATATTCTTCATATTATTTAAACAATAATTTTGGCAATTCGATCGATAAATGTTTAAAAATTGTTTGGTTAATTTTGTTTCGGAGTATATCAACCTCTATGGCTTAATTAATTCTGAAATCTAAATATATTGAACACAATTTTATGGCTTCAACTCCAGATAAAATTTATTGTTGGTAATTTGCTACAAAATGTATTGTTGGCAATTTTACTATAAAATTTATTGCTAGTCATTTTTAGTATCTGTCTATATTTCTGAGATGAGGTATTATGTACACTATTTACATTATTCAGACTATTGTCCTCATCTTTGTCGCCATATTTATTACAACGTTTCGGCCCTTTAGTATCTGTCTATATTTCTGAGATGAGGTATTATGTACACTATTTACATTATTCAGACAATTGTCCTCATCTTTGTCGCCATATTTATTACAACGTTTCGGCCCTTTAGTATCTGTCTATATTTCTGAGATGAGGTATTATGTACACTATTTACATTATTCAGACTATTGTCCTCATCTTTGTCGCCATATTTATTACAACGTTTTTTAGTATCTGTCTATATTTCTGAGATGAGGTATTATGTACACTATTTACATTATTCTGTTGTCCTCATCTTTGTCACCATATTTATTACAACGTTTCGGCCCTTTAGTATCTGTCTATATTTCTGAGATGAAGTATTATGTACACTATTTACATTATTCGGAATATTGTTCTCATCTTTGTCGCCATATTTATTACAACGTTTCGGCCCTTCAGTATCTTTATTTCTGAGATGAGGTATTATGTACATTATTTGCCTATTGTTCTCTTTTTTTGTCGCCATATTTATTACAACGTTTCGGCCCTTTAGTATCTGTCTATATTTCTGAGATGAGGTATTATGTACACTATTTACATTATTCGGACTATTGTCCTCATCTTTGTCGTCATATTTATTTCAACGTTTCGGCCCTTTAGTATCTGTCTATATTTCTGAGATGAGGTATTATGTACATTATTTACATTATTCGGACTATTGTCTTCATCTTTGTCGCCATATTTATTACAACGTTTCGGCCCTTTAGTATCTGTCTATATTTCTGAGATGAGGTATTATGTCCACTATTTACATTATTCGGAATATTGTCCTCATCTATGTCGCCATATTTATTACAACGTTTCGGCTCTTTAGTAACTGTCTATATGTCTGAGATGAAGTATTATGTACACTATTTACATTATTCGGACTATTGTCTTCATCTTTGTTGCCATATTTATTATTTCGGCCCTTTTAGTTTCTGTCTATATTTCTGAGATGAGGTATTATGTCCATATTTACATTATTCGGAATATTGTCCTCATCTATGTCGCCATATTTATTACAACGTTTCGGCCCTTTAGTTTCTGTCTATATTTCTGAGATGAGGTATTATGTCCATTTACTATTTACATTATTCTGGATTTCTGAGATGATATTGTTTACTTTATTCATCTTGTCCTCATCTTTGTCGCCATGTTTCGCCAGTATCTGTCTATTTTCTGAGATGAGGTATTATGTCCACATTTACGTTTGTCCTCTTGTCGCCATATTTATTACAACGTTTCTGTTGTACTCCGGCCTCAAAGACACATGGCACAGTGGATGTCCTCAAAATCACATAGCACAGTGGATAAAGGCGTTGGTTAGATCCAGTGACAGGACCCAAAGAGTGTGAGTTCAATACCCTGTTAAGGCAGTGGAGAACTTTCACAGTGGAATTAAAAGGAGATAACTGATAACTGACATCCTTGCGTGGTAAACAGTCAATTAGAACATTCTGTAAATTCCACGAGTTACTGACTAAATAGAAGCACAGAGCGAGCTCTCTTGCCTTGCGTAGGAGAATGAATATTCTGTAAATAGCCCCGGCACTTGTTGAACATAATCTAAAGAATAGGCAAGAAAGTCTAGGTGTTGAAAAATTTTGATTTCAAAACCTGAAAAGTACGCTGATCTTTCTTACCTTAGCCACACCCATTAATTACTGTTACAGCTGCAGTACATACCGCGTCCCTGCAATTGTGATGGGTACTTTTGACCGCGATTGCAAAGTTACAGTGATAATTACTTCTTTGACATCTCAAGATGATGATCGCTCGCACTTTTTATTTTTCTACTTTAGTCGAAAGCCCAGCCATAAAAAAACATACCGGAATCTGAACAAGTACAATGACAATAGATGTTACACACAACGAAATTAGTAAAGCTAATTTTTTGGGAGTGGGGAGAAAACAAAAACAAATGCCAGGCCATAAATAAAAAGCTTGGCGCAACTCTCCTTACTCTTTCCGCTCTGCTTCCAGTTTTCGATAATCTAAGACAATATCCGACAGCTTGCTTTATACATCAGTGACAATACTGGGAACTGCTGTCAGTTGTAATTACAGATAGAGTTGTGACAATAAAGATGACTCATGTTATTCCCACGCTATTACCTTTTATTCTAGTTCCATTTTTTGTTTTAATTAAATATTTACTAGAATTAAACGGACAAATCAGAATATTTTCTTACCTGGAGACATTGAAGATGGCCCATATAAGCCGCGGAATGTGCTGTTGTGCTTCCAGTTTCAGTGAGTTTTAAATCCCGACATGACATGCAAACGCTGGACAGTCGATTTTCCGTTGTTGCTGTTGTTTTCCGCTAAAATATAGAACACACTTCATGACATTTGTAATAGACGCTCGGAGAGTTGACCGGCTGATTTAAAATTATTTTAAAACTATAGTAGTCCCCTTATTATTTTGTTTCTTTGTTATATATTTAAAGTGGGTTACAGGTTTTCAGGGAGAGGCAGTACTTTTAGCAGGGCGGTTCGTCAATGTCCTTTTCAGGGTAGCTCGTCTGCCACTGTTCCTCACCTGTTACCCAGCTCTCACCTGTGGCTCCTCGAAGCAGTCGCACGCAATTGCGGCCACCCCGGAGCAACGGCTTTGGCGGACCGGCCAAACCAGGTGAGGTTAGCCGACGGGTCTGAAACCCCCGGTGAGTTAGGCTTGGGCCGTGTCAGACATAGTGCATGCGAAGACTGACTCCCGGCGAAACGATTGAAAGACATCACCTGTGGATCCAACAGTTGTGAAAGCGGTGGCAGCAAGTTTTGTTTTTTGACGTAAAACCTCAACTAACCTATTTGGGGCGGGGTTGCCAATGTTTAATACAGGGCCCCCAATATTCTGATGCCTAACCGGCACCAAAATGCCACACCCTGTTAGCTTCTTTTCACTAAACTCGCTCACCTTTTGCCAAATTCTGATGGAGGGAGTCTGGTATTGACTTAAAGAATGAGTAAAAATTAATTTTAGGGCACAAAAAAGAAGTAAGACGTAGAAAATGAAAACCAAAAGAATTAAGCAAAAAGAGAAGATATACGAAAAAATAAAATTTAAAAAAATCAAGTTTACGAAAGGAGCCTGAAAAATAAAAGAAAATGAAAATGAAGATACAATATACACAAAAAATAAATCAATAGTCTAGTGAATGTAGATGTTACGCAAGTAACGAAAATAAAAAAAAAAAGAAAAGACTGGCAAGAAACTTAAAAAAAAATCTTCAACAAAAAAAAGACAGCCAGTCAAAAGAAAAAAACGTAAAGGAAAAGAAGTAAACTTAACATAAAATATAACAGTTCTTCGAACACAAAAATATAAGTTCCAATCGGCTAGCGTCAAAAAAAAAAAAAAAAAATAAGTCTTATGCGTGGCGGAAATAGAACCGGTCTTAGTAAGGTATTTATTTTTTTCAATTGAAATTTAGCTTTAACTTTGGAAAATCGACCCAACCTATTCTTTACATTTTCACTCTGTTTTTGTAAACTGGTCGCTTGTCCACTTACATTTTTGCAATAAATATTTGCAGGTAATCGCCACAGCTAAAATAATTCCATCCAGTCAGTACCGAATAAGTTTGTAGCATTTTTAACGCATAAGCCTTGGCTTTTTTTCACACGCTGTGGAATGAGGCGTTAAAAAGCCATTTCGCCACTAAGAAATAATTTCACACCTGACACGCTACGTCCGATTTTTGAAGATCTCTGTAATATGGGTATTTCGTTTGCTTTCCGCGTGGCTTTGTTGATTACTTTGATATCACTACTAGTGTCTAGATAAATTTTTACATCCACATTATTACTTTACACATACACAAATTTTCTTTGGTTTTCTGTAATTATTTTTTCTATGTACGATTTTTTTTTCTGTGAGAACCTTTCCTTGCTTTAGTTTCACAGTGTCATTTTTTATGCCCTACTTTTCCACATTTGTACCACTTTGAATTTTAATTTTCACTCCGAAATGTAAGCTTCCTCATCGGAAACATAAATTATTTTTTCTTTTTCCACACGTTTCTTTAGTTTGTATATATGCACATTCTTTTTGGTCAATTTTTCCGTGTCTCGGATTTAGGACTCTCTGACATTCGTCCGATATTTCTTGGGGTGTTAGTTTTTGATTCTGTTAAAGTTTCGTTGGAATACTCTCACGTATATCTTTTTCGCCTTTGACGAAAATTAACGTCGTGGGTATGACGATAAACTACATCCGCGTCCTGGGTATGATGATAAACTACATCCGGGCCCTGGGTATGACGATAAGCTACATCCGGGTCGTGGGTATGACGAGAAACTAAGTCCAATAACAAGGCTCCAGATAATGTTTTTTGGAGAAAATAATGTTGCCAGCTATACGTTTTTTGGAAACAATAATGTTGCTAGCTATGTTTTTGAAACAACAATGTTGCCAGCTATACGTTTTTTGGAAAAAATAGTGTTGCCAGCTATACGTTTTTTGGAAACAATAATGTTGCCAGCTATACGTTTTTTGGAAACAACAATGTTGCCAGCTATGTTTTTAAAACAACAATGTTGCCAGCTATACGTTTTTTGGAAACAATAATGTTGCTAGCTATGTTTTTGAAACAACAATGTTGCCAGCTATACGTTTTTTGGAAAAATAGTGTTGCCAGCTATACGTTTTTTAGAAAGAGTGCTGCCAGCTATGCGTTATTGAAGCAATAATTTTGCCAGCTATATGTTTGATAGTACTGTATATTTAATATATATATATATATATACCTTAATTTGGCATTAAATGAGCCACAGTGGTTGATATGCCATAAAACCCAACCAACCAACCAACTTTAACGAAAATTAACCCTTTAAACACATCCGGAGTCAGTTCGTTTAATTTGAATCTTTCACACACTTTGTTTACGATTCTAGCGATATGTAACAAAATCTTTGTTTTCTTTTTTCCTCGGATTCATACACTTCCAACGTGTATCGAATAACAAACCTTTCTTGCTAAAAATTTTAGTCAGAATATTTACCGTTTCTTCAAAGCAAATTTTTTTTTTTTTTCAATACTACAAAATTACATTATTTACATTATTCGGACTGTTATTTACATCTTCATTGCCATGTACACAACGTTTCGGTCGTTGTACGCTCCGGCCTTCTTTAGGTGATTGAAATTTCGAACCAAACCTTTTATTTTGTCCACCGGGGGTAGATTGTTCCAGTTCCACATACCATGCCTTTTCCGGATGTCTCAGTTATTTCTCTTTAACTCAACTATTCAAGTTTTTGGTTCACTACTGCTGTAGCTCAATGAATAAAGGTGTTGGTAAGATCTAACTAACGTCTTTATCCACAATGGTTCTCCACTGTGCCATGTGTCCTCAAGGCATTAGCTAGATCCAGTGACAGGACTCAAAGAGTGTGATTTCAATACCTGCTTAAGACAGTGGAAAACTTGGAGGGGTAAATTAACAGGAGATAACTGATAACCGACATCCGTTAGACATGGCATGTGGAACTAGAACAGTCTAACCCAGTGAGCGAAATAAAGGGTTTAGATCAACATTCCAATTACATGAAGAAGGCCGAAACGTTGTAATAAATATGGCGACAAAAATGAGGACAATAGTCCGAATAATGTAAATAGTGTACATAATACCTCATCTCAGCAATATTGACAGATACTAAAGGGCCGAAACGTTGTAATAAATATGGCGACAAAGATGAGGACAATAGTCCGAATAATGTAAATAGTATACATAATACGTCTTCTCAGAAATATATACAGATACTAAAGGGCCGAAACGTTGTAATAAATATGGCGACAAAGATGAGGACAATAGTCCGAATAATGTAAATAGTGTACATAATACGTCTTCTCAGAAATATAGACAGATACTAAAGGACCGAAACGTTGTAATAAATATGGCGACAAAGATGAAGACAATAGTCCGAATAATGTAAATAGTGTACATAATACCTCATCTCAGAAATATAGACAGATACTAAAGGGCCGAAACGTTGTAATAAATATGCCAACAAAGATGAGGACAATAGTCCGAATAATGTAAATAGTTTACATAATACCTCATTTCAGAAATATAGACAGATACTGAAGGGCCGAAACGTTGTATAAATATATGGCAGCAAAGGGGACAATAGTCGAAAATGTTAGTGTAATAAAACCTCATCTCAAAATATAGACAGATACTAAAGGACCGAAACGTTGTAATAAATATGGCAAAAGATGAAGACAATAGTCCGAATAATGTAAATAATACCTCATCTCAGAAATATAGACAGATAAAAGGGCCGAAACGTTGTAATAAATATGCCAACAAAGATAAGGACAATAGTCTAATACCTCATTTCAGAAATATAGACAGATACTGAAGGGCCGAAACGTTGTAATAAATATGGCAGCAAAGATGAGGACAATAGTCCGAATAATGTAAATAGTGTACATAAAACCTCATCTCAGAAATATAGACAGATACTAAAGGGCCGAAACGTTGTAATAAATGGCGACAAAGATGAGGACAATAGTCTGAATAATGTAAATAATGTACATAATACCTCATCTCAGAAATATAACAGATACTAAAGAAACGTTGTAATAAATATGGATGAGGGACAATAGCCTGAATAATGTAAATAGTGTACATAATACCTCATCACAGAAATATAGACAGATACTGAAAGGCCGAAACGTTGTAATAAATATGGCGACAAAGATGAGGACAATAGTCCGAATAATTTAAATAGTGTCCATAATACCTCATCTCAGAAATATAGACAGATACATTTATTCAGTTTAAAAAGTTATGTTTGAAACATGATCCTTAATAAATGACTTTTATTTGCTTTTAAATGATGGGGGAAATTTTCATAGTTTGCATGTCGTTGATTCGGCAATGAGAGGTCTTGGGTGAGGGGGTGGTCCGGCAAAAGCTATTAGTAAGCAAAAATACGTTGTTTTAGTATTTGATGACTACTGCTGACCTCGTAACATTTTGCGTTCTTGTCCGATATTCTGTCTCCCATTCTTATCATCTTGGGGGTTACCTTCATTTGCATATTGTTGATTTAATTTGCATATCGTTCGTTGGTTGTTGACTGCGGAAGCAAGAATGAGAAATAATATCGAAAGACGAATTTTAAACACAACCAAATCACAAACTCGAAAGAAAACGGAAACAAATGGAACGGAATCGACATTATCTATTCGAAGACTTGAGAATTACATTTCGACAAAACTCATTGCACAGTTAAAAGACTTTTCTTTCCATCTTGAGTGTATAAATTAAATTCAATTCAATGTTTTTCCTTTTGTATTTTCTTTGGTGGAATATAATATTCTGTGGGCGGGGGTTTCTTCGCGTTGATATATTATGTTGGTGCAAAAATAATGTCGTTTTTTGATGTTCAACTTCAAATCGAAAATCTTTGCACCAACCTAATAGTACCCACCTTAATTACAACTGTAATTGTCTAGTTAAATTTAACTCCGCGTTGTTTAGTCTGACACAAGGCTAGAAGGAGTTTGATGTGAGAATCGTACATATTTATAAGTCATTCATCAAAGCTCTGAATATTGCTACAACATCTGGTTTTGTACGCCATGTCCTTCCAGAACGTAGGCAATCATGGCTCTCCACCTCCCCCTATCCCTTGCAGCTCTCAACAAATCCCTTCCCTATGCTTCCTCCCCCCGCCAGAACATGTTCTGTCATCCACTTGCTTAAACCCGTTGTTTCCCTTGTCTCTCTTTCACTCTGTTCGACCCGTGAGTATCAGATTCTCCAGGCCCTCCTTCCGCATTATGTGTCCCAGAAACTTCAGCTGCCTCTTCCTGGTGTTAAATATAAGCCTCCTCTTTGTTTGCAGCCTCTCTAAGACCTCATCGTCGCTCACACGTTCGGTCCATGATAACCTTAGCATCCTTCTGTAGAACCGTATCTCCGTTGCCACAAGTCTCTTCTTCATCTTTGGGGAAATCGTCCAACATTTGCTGCCGTAAAGAAGGACAGATGTCACGTAATAGCTCAGTATTCTTTTCGTTGTTACCAAAGATATCTTCCTGTCTTGCAATACTCTGCCCAGCTTTTGGAATGTGTCCTTGGCCATCCCAATACGTCTACGGATCTCAGTATCGCATTTACCGTCCTCTGTCAAGACGCTTCCCAGGTATTTAAACTTCCGCGTCTGCTTGATTCTAATGTCCCCGACCTGAAAATCGCATTTCGGGATCATCCTCTTATTGACGACCATACATTCTGTATTCTTGTACTTTATGTTTAGTCCCTTCTTCTCGATCTCCTTCGCTACCTTCTGTAGGAGATAGGTATTCTTACAGCTAGGTTCACCCTGTACAAGGCCTGAGAGCCACTCGAGTTAGAGGATTACAAAGAAATAAACAGAGTTTATGCGGATATGTGGGGAAGATAACGGTTAACCTTAGACTTGAACTAGTTAAGATTGTAGTGATCGAGAAAGTGTTGTGGAGTGATTTCGCAGTGGAGGCTTGTATTTGTACTAAGTCGCTCCTAAAATAGGTTCGACGTACAAAACGTTAAGAACTTGATATAATAGGTAATGACGCAGAGAAATCTTGTTGTGGTCGCTGATAGTTTAGTATTCGACTAACTGTCGTCCGACATCGACTGACTCACCGACTCACTGAGCGACGGTATTTAGTCATCCCCCCACGTGGGCATCATGTGGCACAAGGCCGGTTTAACGTGGGATCTCCGAGTCCGTGGGCTCGGCCAAAAATATGCCCATTGAACCCGTATAAACGGGTTCAGGGTCGGTTTACCTCCCCGAAAGAGACTCCGCCCTTCGGCGTAGCCTCGTTCGGGTTCCGCCCCTCCCGAAGGCAGAGAGTTCAACCGGTCAGCCGGTCGTCCGTCTTCAGACTGAACTCAGACCAAGCTGCTGAGCGACTCCCTTGTTACTCTTACTACTCCTACTTATTATAGGTGCGAGAGTCTATTAACTATAGAATAGGTGTGTTCCACTATAACAGAAAGCATCCTCTTGGGAGTCGGCTCTGCAGAGCAATGGTTCGTGGTGGGAAGAAGCTGTTCGAGTGGAATTTACTTCTCACCAAGAGAATTCGGAGGGAATAAGGGTGGTTCGCTATAATGACGGGTAGAATGACGGGTCCTAGCCGTGAAAGTTAGTGCTGGAGGAGTTAAGGAATGCTGTTCATCTAAACACTTTCCGTGGAAATAGCGTTAGAGCAGTGAGAGTCTTGCGACGTTTCGGCTTTGAGGGTGGAAAATAATTTTTCACCCACAAGAACGCAGAGACGCTTCTGAGGTCTATCGAAAGCGGAGAGTAAGGACTGGGCGGCACCCGACAACATATGACAGTAGTTTTCTGTTTTCGGCCAGATCGAGGATAGCATGATGATTCGGAAACTTACTGTAGAAAACTGTGGAAAAAAATACCAAATTATTAAAGAATATGAAAAGAAAACATTTAACATCGGCCAATTCACTTAGAAAGCGAAAAAAATTCTTACAGGGAAAAAGATACTCTCTAAATGAATTCGGCTAAAAACAAAACCGTTCTAAAATTTCCAGCAGCCCTCGTTCAAGCGGATGTGTAGTCGAACCAACATTACAAATTTAATCTGATAAAGTCCAGAAAGAACATACGCGTTACAAGTAAACTTTTGCACTTTGTCATACAATTTCACCTATCTATCTAACTATCTATCTATCTATCTCAGCCTGCTCGTATCTATCTATCGATCTGTCTGTCTATTTTTGTCAGCTCGTATCTATCTATCTATCTATCTATCTATCTATCTATCTATCTATCTATCTGTCTGTCTATTTTTGTCTGCTCGTATCTATCTATCTCAGCCTGCTCGTATCTATCTATCTATCTATCTATCTATCTATCTATTTTTGTCTGCTCGTATCTATCTATCTATCTATCTATCTATCTATCTATCTATCTATCTCGGTCTGCTCGTGTCTATCTATCTATATATCTATCTATTTTGGTCTGCTCGTATCTATCTATCTATCTATCTATCTATCTATCTATCTATCTATCTATCTTTGTCTGCTCGTATCTATCTATCTATCTATCTATCTATCTATCTATCTATCTATCTATCTTTCTGCTCTATCTATCTATCTATCTATCTATCTATCTATCTATCTAGTTTTGTCTGCTCGTATCTATCTATCTATCTATCTATCTATCTATCTATCTATCTATCTATCTCAGCCTGCTCGTATCTATCTATCTATCTATCTATCTATCTATCTCTATCTATCTAGTTTTGTCTGCTCGTATCTATCTATCTATCTATCTATCTATCTATCTATCTATCTGTTTTTGTCTGCTCGTATCTATCTATCTATCTATCTCAGTCTCCTAGTGTCTATCTATCTATCTATATATCTATCTATTTTGGTCTGCTCGTATCTATCTATCTATCTATCTATCTATCTATCTATCTATCTATCTATCTATCTTGTTCTGCTCGTGTCTATTTATCTATCTGTCTATCTATCTATCTATTTTGGTCTGATCGTATCTATCTATCTATCTTTATATATATCTATGTATGTATGTATCTATTTTGGTTTGCTCGTATCTATGTATCTGTCTATCTAACTTTTCTTATATAGGGTATCTCAGAAAATGTATACACATTTTGAGGCTGTCTCAATTCAAGCAACTAGAACCAAATCTAATTTAAATAATGACTATGAAGCTATTATTTATTATAAATTAAATGGTCTTAAGATTTTGTCATCGCATCTTTTCAGAATAATGTCAGTTATGATCCAAGACATTTTCTAACAACGCGACGCAATAGAATCCGAAGCAGAAATTCACATTTCGGTAAGTTTCCTTGACTTATGTGGAAATTGTCACTTATAATCTTCAAAAATTTAAATACAACGCCAACCGTCATCTGCTGACTTCTTGAATCCTCATCCTTTGTCATCCTTTCTCATCATTCTCATTCACTTCCATTAAACCTTTGCGTCTTAGAGGCTTTGTCGCCTTTCTTGGGTTGAAATCTTTAAAAACAAATGATAACTACTCCTGGAAAATAAGTTTCAGGAATATTCGTATATATTCGTCTGCGAGTTATATAGAAATAATCCTAAAAATTAGTAAATTATTCGCAAGAATTTCGTATTTTCTCGAGTCCAAAGCGCGAAAATGGAGATTATCGCCACGTGGAATCGGTGCGAGAGTATGAATTATTCAGAAACTGATACGGGCGCCGATAATTCTGTTTACAGGCGACTTTTTCTTCCTATTTAGAATGGTTTCGTATACACATTATTTAATCAAAACACAAAAAAAAACAAACGGTTAACGGTTGGAAATACGAAATCAGAGAGACGAGTATATATATATATATATATATATATATATATATATATATATATATATATATATATATATATATATATATATATATATATATATTCAAGCATCATACCGTAAGGGTCCGGGTTCAATTCTTGGTAGTGGATGCGCACTACTGACGAATCCCCAAAATAGGAAGAAACGTCCGTCCAGTGCTTTCTGCATCCTGTTGAGGATTTCTTCTACACACAATGAATTTCTAATTATGATTATTTAAACCCCCTAATAATATATATATATATATATATATATATATATATTATGTAATGTTACCGCGAGACAAATATTCTTTCAATCTAAAATAAGTTTTGGCTTTAGATAACCCATAATGGGTTGATAAGCCGTAAAACACTCTATAAAAAGAGATAACCACATTTAATAGTAATAATTAATTCCTCGTGTTAATGGATTTCTCACATTAAACATTTTTTAAATATATTTCCCGTTATTATGTTACGAGGCGGTATTGGGCTCTACAGAAGGATACTGAGAATTCCATGGATAGAGCTAGTAAACAATGGAGAAATCTTAAATCTTTTGTCAACAAAAATCTTAAATCTTTTGTCAACAAAAATCTTCTTTTGTCAACAAAAATCTTAAATCTTTTGTCAACAAAAAAGTATGTTTATACTCAGAATCGGGAAGAGACAGCTGCAATTTCTTGTACAAATGATGAGGAAGGAGAGCTTGGAAAACTTAATCCTCACAGGGCGTATTGGCGGCAAGAGATATAGAGAAAAGAATCAAAATACCTACCTGAAGAGCATGAGCGAATGAATGGCGGAATGGAGGGGCTGATGTTTTGCAAAAAGGAGAAAAACTGCTCAGGTTTGATTTGGTTTGGTTTATTTTGTTTTACGGCATATCAACCTCAATGGGTTATTTAATGCCGACAACATTTTTAGGATAGATTCGTATGAATAGAATATGTATTCTTTGGTTTAGATTGGTTTGGTTTATTTTGTTTTACGTCATATCAACCTCAATGGGTTATTTAATGCCGACAACATTTTTAGGATAGATTCGTATGAATAGAATATGTATTCTTTGGTTTAGATTGGTTTGGTTTATTTTGTTTTACGGCATATCAACCCCAATGGGTTATTTAATGCCGACAACATTTTTAGGATAGATTCGTATGAATAGAATATGTATTCTTTGGTTTAGATTGGTTTGGTTTATTTTGTTTTACGTCATATCAACCTCAATGGGTTATTTAATGCACAACATTTTTAGGATAGATTCGTATGAATAGAATATGTATTCTTTGGTTTAGATTGGTTTGGTTTATTTTGTTTTACGTCATATCAACCTCAATTTATTTAATGCCGACAACATTTTTAGGATAGATTCGTATGAATAGAATATGTATTCTTTGGTTTAGATTTGTTTGGTTTATTTTGATTTACGGCATATCAACCTCAATGGGTTATTTAATGCCGACAACATTTTTAGGATAGATTCGTATGAATAGAATATGTATTCTTTGGTTTAGATTTGTTTGGTTTATTTTGATTTACGGCATATCAACCTCAATGGGTTATTTAATGCCGACAACATTTTTAGGATAGATTCGTATGAATAGAATATGTATTCTTTGGTTTAGATTGGTTTGGTTTATTTTGTTTTACGGCATATCAACCTCAATGGGTTATTTAATGCAGACAACATTTTTAGGATAGATTTGTATGAATAGAATATGTATTCTATGGTTTAGATTGGTTTGGTTTATTTTGGTTTACGGCATATCAACCTCAATGGGTTATTTAATGCCGACAACTTTTTTTTTTCCTGGTGTAATTTGTTTAGTCAAAAATATATTACTGGTAATACTTTTTTCCTTCAAAAATTTATTTCTGATAATAATTTTTTACAAATTATTTCTAGTATTTAAACCTATTTTTACAATTTTATAATGCTTTTTATCTCAGTTTCGGGTGTTAAATATTTACCCATAGCTGGGACCCTTACAGGTGCTACCACCCCGGGTCAAGATGGACCGGGAAACACTAGCAATTAAGAGTTTCCTCCACACTCCTCGAAACCTCCTGATCAGAGACCTTGCTGTTGGACATAGTTTATCGTCATACCCAGGACGGAAACTGCTAAGAGTCACACTGGATAGGATGATCGGCCATGCTCTGAAGGGACGTGGCACAACAGGGAAGAAGAAGTTTCGGGGTTGGGGTGGGGGGCTTCTGTTCAATACCTAATGATAACTGAAGACCGATACCCCACTTTATATCCAGCAGAAACTAATAATAATAGTTTTTGCTTCCTGTTAACAACGACAAGGAATTCTGAAATATTCTCTTATATGGCAGTAAATGCTGGAAATCTCCCCACAGATGCCGATTAGACTTGAGATAACAGAAATGTGGTTCTACAGAAGGATACTGAGAATATTATGGAATGAACATGTGAGTAGCGAGGAAGCGTTAAGGAAAATGCAAATGAAAAAGGACTCTTAGAATCGGAAAAAGTGTTGAAATGTCTAAGACACTTAATGAGAAAAGAAGGCTTAGAGAATTAGAGACTTGCACGATATGTTGGAAGCAAGTGAGGCAAAGAGAACGACGAATAACCTACTTAACGACTTTTGTGTAAACGGGTGACAGATCAGGGAGAGGACGGATGACAGAAGGTAAATATTACTAAGAGCTACAAGTGATAAGAAAAGAAATAAATCGTAGTGGAGAGCCATGACCGCCCACAGCCTGTAGTGACAACGCACATAGAATAATAAGAGAATGTTGTTTTATAATGACAAGGATATTCGATAACTGTCTATATTTCTGAGATGAGGTATTATGTACACTATTTACATTATTCGGACTATTGTCCTCATCTTTGTCGCCATATTTATTACAAAGTTTCGGCCCTTTAGTATCTGTCTATATTTCTGAAATGAGGTATTATGTACACTATTTACATTATTCGGACTATTGTCCTCATCTTTGTCGCCATATTTATTACAACGTTTCGGCCCTTTAGTATCTGTCTATATTTCTGAAATGAGGTATTGTGTACACTATTTACATTATTCGGACTATTGTCCTCATCTTTGTCGACATATTTATTACAACGTTTCGGCCCTTCAGTATCTGTCTATATTTCTGAAATGAGGTATTATGTACACTATTTACATTATTCGCACTATTGTCCTCATCTTTGTCGCCATATTTATTACAACGTTTCGGCATTTCAGTATCTGTCTATATTTCTGAGATGAGGTATTATGTACACTATTTACATTATTCGCACTATTGTCCTCATCTTTGTTGCCATATTTATTACAACGTTTCAGCCCTTTAGTCTCTGTCTATATTTCTGAGATGAGGTATTATGTACACTATTTACATTATTCGGACTATTGTCGTCATCTTTGTCGCCATATTAATTACAACGTTTCGGCCGTTGTAAACTCCGGCCTTCTTCAGGTGGTTTGAATGTCGAACTGAACCCTTTATTTCGCTCACTGGGGTAGACTCTTCTAGTTCCACGTGCCATGTTTAATGGATGTCAGTTGTCAGTTATCTTTTGTTAATTTCCCTCTGAAAGATCTCCACTGCCTTAACCGGGTATTGAACTCACGCTCTTTGAGTAAGGCTTCAAGAACACCAGGAAGCTGTAACACTAGGGGAAGTGGAAAAATCAGGCGTGGCTGACCACATATGGAGAGAGAAGTGAGATCACCGCCCACTCTGGAATCAGGTCGAGATCATAGACAAGGAACACCATTGGAAAATTCGTAAACTTAAGGAATCAGCACATATGCTAGGCCCCAAAAATCTTCTGAGCCGACCACGCATAGAAATGAATACAATATGGGAACCAGTAATAAGGGTCCCAGAGAAAAGCGATAATAGCAACAAAAGTCGCAGTATGAGCTCTGGTAAAAACATGTAACGATAACAGCAAAAAATTGCAGTCTGGTAAAAATGGTTGCTGAAGATTAGGTTTATAATACCCAGAAATTCATACACATGGCACAGTGGATAAAGGCGTTGGTTAGATCCAGTGACAGGACCCAAAGAGTGTGAGTTCAATACCCGGTTAAGGCAGTGGAGAACTTTCAGAGGGAAAATTAAGCAGATGATAACTGATAACTGACTTCCATTAAACATGGCACGTGGAACTAGAACAGTCTACCCCAGTGAGCGAAAAAAGGGTTAAGTTTGACATTCCAACCACCTGAAGAAGGCCAGGGCGTACAACGGCCGAAACGTTGTAATAAATATGGCGACAAAGATGAGGACAATAGTCCGAATACTGTAAATAAGGATATTCGACAAGAAACCTTTTGAAACAGGATCTGATTGGAAAGTTACTTACGCCCTTGGCCGAATCTCTTAAAGCCTTCCGCAAAACCCGATGGCCAACTACACCAGACAGCCCCTTTCGTTGCAATTTCACGTTCCCAATTGGCCCTTTATCCGGCGCCAGCATCCGTGCCTTAATCAGCCGCAGATCGATGTGGTCCTCGTTCGAGTCCCCGTTGCGTAAACATGATTTTAGACCGTCTCTTGGAGGTTCTATGTTCGCAGAATTCTCTTTCGCCCACAGATCCGAAACACCCGGGTTCTTTTTTTCTAACAAAATCGAATCGGAGGCAGCGTTCGACCTGCAGTGCGACAAGGCATCGATTCTTTGGTTATCCTGCAGCACCCGGCATCGTCTGAGCGGAACTTTGGCCTTCGTCTGACTGGCGGAATCCAAACAGGTTCCCGTCGTCCGGAGGTCGTCGAACGAGAAGGATTTCTTCGACAAGATGCTCTGTTTACCCTTTCTTCGAAATAAATTTGTCCCGCCTTTCAGTCTCCGGTTTTCAAGAAGTTTCTTTTCAATGTTATTCACGGCTTCTGATACTTTGTTCGAAGTGTCTTTTTCATTTTTCTGTTTCAACCTTTTGGCTGCTTTCAAATTATCCTGAAGAAGAAAAAAAAAAAGAGGGGATTTTAATTTAATTGAATTTTATTAGCGTAATTCCTTGATTATTGGCGAAAGAAAGAATAATTGTATCTTTTGTTTCGAAGAATTCATAACTTTTATTCCATTTTTCGATATACCTAACTTCAAATAAAGACGCAAAAAACAAGCAGCTTTTTGAGAAGGATAGGGGTAAGATTCAAAATAGAATTCTTTTTTAACTACTTTTTCATTTTATCTAATTGATTATGCAAAGTTTCGATCCTAGTTCGATTCATATATATATATATATATATATATATATATATATATATATATATACAGTAGCGTCCAAAACTAAGGGCCAAAATTTTAAAACCTAATATTTGTTAGAAATAACAACTGTGAAAAGCTGAAATTTTGACAACTGGTAGTCGTTATCATCCATAATAACATACTAAAATTTGAATCATTTGCAAAGGATAGAAAAATTATAACAATTATTTATTTATTTTCAAAATAGGATCGTCCAAAAGTAAGGGACAAAATTGAGAAAAAACGATGTAAACAGTATGCTATATTCAAATTTTTGATTTCCTCTAAAGAATAAGTCTTACTTAGTCATTTGTAAACGTTGCATCAGCCGGCACCATGGCGAAACACCAAAAAACTTGATTACTCTGTGAGACAAGCTATTGTGAAGCTACACAAGGAAAAGCACATCATTAGAGAGATTTCAGAGAAAGTGAAACGTTCCAAGAGTGTTGTAGGCAGGGTTGTTAAATCCTACAATGATACTGGCAAAATAGTTAGTGCTTTTAAAACCAGCAGACCCGCAAAACTTCGGCAAGAGAAGATCGAATAATGCAGCGTATGTCATTAAAGGACCGTTTTAAGTCTTGCACAGAAATTAAAAGGGTTATGAATAGTACCTGATGTGTTAATGTGTCAAAACAGACTGTTTGTAGACGACTGCAAGAAATAGGGCTGTTTAATCGAACCCCAGGGAAGAAACCACTTGTTAGTTCGAAGAATAAGAAGAGATTAGAGTTTGCAAACAGGTATGTAATTTGGACATATGAAAATTGGGCAAAAGTATTTTTCAGTGATGAAAGCAAGTTTAATTTATTTGGAAATGATGGAAAAAAACAATGTAAAGAGACGTACTGGTGAAAGATTAAATGCAAAGTGTACTAAGAAAACTGTCAAGTTTGGGGGCGGAAGCGTCATGGCATTTGGAATGTTTTCTAGCCAAGGTACAACGCCTCTTGTCCGGTTACAAACTCGTGTAAATGCGCAGATCTATAAAAACATTGTTCAAGATCATGTGCCAATCATACAGAATTCAGGTTTCGATAGGGCTACCTTTATGCAAGATAATGCCCCATGTCACAAGGCAAAGGTGGTAATGAGTTACCTTAGCGAGCAAGATTTGGAAATTATGGATTGGCCACCGCAAAGTCCTGACTTAAATCCAATAGAAAATCTTTGGAAGATCTTAGGAGTGAAAGTTATGGAAAGAAATCCCACTAACACGGAGGATTTGTGGGTGAAGCTTCAAGAAGAATGGTCTGAAATTAGTATAGAGGATTGTCAAGAACTGATTCGTTTTTGTAGTCGAAGATGTGCAGCTGTCATTGAGAGCAAGGGCTCATTTACTAAATATTGATTGCACATGTATTTTTATTGTTTTTTTGCCGTTTACATTGTTTTTCTCAATTTTGTCCCTTACTTTTGGACGTTCCAAATTTGAAAATAAATAAATAATTGATATAATTCTTTTTCTATCCTTTGCAAATGATTCAAATTTTAGTATGTTATTATGGATGATAACGACTACCAGTTGTCAAAATTTCAGCTTTTCACAGTTGTTATTTCTAACAAATATTAGGTTTTAAAATTTTGTCCCTTAGTTTTGGACGCTACTGTATATATATAATTAAGCTCTTAACATATTTTTTTAATTGAGGACTGTTAAGTACTGTTGACAGACAGCCTAATTCTACAAACACCAGCCGCCTACGCTAAAACGCAATGCTCTTTAGTAAAATGAATTGGAGCACTCTGGCTGACTGGCGTTTGTTTACATTCGTGAAACAATACGCTAGAATTAGCAGGTTCTCTCTGATGGCTTATGTGTAGAAACTCCGACTGACATCACATCGGTTGGGTTTCGGTCCTGGCTTGATTTTTTCGGATGTCCAATCGCACCACTGAGGAGCTGTGATACTGTGAAACAATATTGTCTGCGAATGACACACACACACACTCACACATATATATATATATATATATATATATGCAGATATGTGGAAAAATAGGAAAGAATACGTTAGGTAAATAATCCGGAGTTCTTTAATATTTTTGTTTTTATTTAAAAAAAAACAGAAGTAGAGCTTAAATTATAATTATATTTTTAAAAAAATATGATTCCTTTGCTACATAAGAGTTCTCATGTTTCAAAAACGAGAGCCAAAACCCTCAATATAATTATTAAAATTAAATTGAATTAAAGTATCAAGCTCTGTTTCATCCTCAATCTTGAAATCTTTATAAGCATGTTCATTCATTACTATGGAAATGGCTGGGGCGACTATTTTTGATAAGGGGCCTAAGAGTTAATTTTTATCTACATATCAGTCACCTCTAGGGAGAGGTCAATCTGAGGAAGGGTGGGGTGTCTATTTCAAAGCGAATGATGGCATTCATCTACGCACGTAAACCTCATGTTCTTTACAATGCCCTATAAAAAAATAAAAAAAATAAAAAATAAAGATAACCCTTTATGAAGTCGTCAAAAAAACAAATGTTAGCGACTTACGGCAGTTTTTTTATATACACAAAACCCTTTCAGAAAAATAAAAAAAAATAAAAAAAATAAATAAATCTCCATAGACACTTAACCAGAGTAGACGATGTCATCTTCCGCTTTGAATTTAGACACCCCAACCTTACCCTGACTTGACCTCTTTGTATGTAACTGAGATATTGATACCAATTATTAACCTTTACGTCCCTTTTCTTTTAACAATTGCTCTAGCCGTTACCATAGTAATTTTAATTTCAATAATGAATATGCTTATAAAACGCGTAAATTTCAGGAACAAGTTATTCCAGTAAAAATTTCGCTTGAAGATGGAACAGAGCTTAGTACTTTAATTCAATTTAATTCAAATAATTATATTGAAGTTTTCGGCTCTTGTTTTGAAACATGAGAACTCTTGAAACGAGAATGTAGCGTTGGAATCATATTTTTAAATAAAATTATATATATATATATATATATATATATATATATATATATATATATATATATATATATACATGTTTAGGCAACATATTTTCATTTAAGCTTCTTTGGTTAAATGATTTAAATAACTTGAACGATCAAAGTTAAATCGTAGAATATTTAAAAAACAACACTCATGTCGACATTCTTGATTTAGACAGATATTAATCAAAAATACATCAATGTTTCATCAAAATAATAATAAGCAAAAACTCTGGAAGAGAATTGCGGTTAAAAATAAATAAAGTCAAATATGAGTGCAGCAACAAAATTCTTAAATATTTGGCGCAGCAAAATGTTATATAAAAAAATACTGAATTAAAATACTACAATTTAAAAAAAAAATCTTTTTAAAAATGACATAAGTTACTTCCCTTGCATAGAGATAAAAATATTTTGAATTTACGGTGTTAACACATAACACATCTATTGATATGTACCCCCCGAAGATGGTTTCAGATTATATTGAAAGTACTTGGGAAAATAAAAATTATTTGAAACAAAATTTTGGAATTTTTCTTAATGAATTTTCTACAGCCACCAAGAAATTAATTCATGGACTCGAAAGGATTAATCCTAAAATAAACGGACATAATACGTCTAAATTATTTATGCAAAAATGCTTGAATATATATATATATATATATATATATATATATATATATATATATATATATATATATATATATATATATTATGTAGTGTTACATTAGAACATGCACATATCCACTACAAAATTGTACATTTTTGTTTCAACGTCAAAAAAAAAAAACCTTTTTTTAAACATTTCATCAGGTGGAGAATCGCGATGTTACTAAAAACTTTTATTGAGAAATACAGTTACCAAAGCAAATATCACCTACTTCCGTACATTCTCAATAAAAAATTTTAGTAACATCGTGATTCCCCACCTGATGAGACGTTTAAAAAAGGTGTTTTCTTTTTTGATGTTGAAACAAAAATGTACAATTTTATGGTGGATATGTGCATGTTTTAATGTAACACTGCATAAGAAATAAATAAATATTTATGGCTCTACTTTTTGTATTGAGCACGATCTTTCAATTAATGCTTTGAACGTTCGTTTGTTCGTTCTCCTGCACTCTGATATCTATCTATCTATCTATCTATATATATATATATATATATATATATCCTAATCATCTCGAATTCTTGGATCAACTTTTTAATGTTGATATTAAATTCATTAAAGAAGACGCCCTTTTTTTTCATTTCTTTTATTTTAACAAGTAATTTCATTCTCATCCAAGATCGTCTTCAGGGGTGAATTATAAAGCCAAGACATTTATGTAATTAAAAGTTGTGATTTTTTTGTAAACACGCATGAACGCGCTCCATTATAAAATAATTCCATTGTCATTTTTTTAAAAATAGTCATATAAATTCAAGTTAGCTCCCTTAAATAAAACAACATAATAGCTGTAACAGTTAATTT